TTGTTTTATTTTAAAAAATATGGATCACCATTGTAAAAGCAAACTTATTTTTTTACTGACAATGTTATGCACATAAAAAGTGTGCACCAAATTATCTATAGTCGTCAAATCAATTGGTTCCATCACTACTCCAACAGCTACAAATGATTTAATGCATATTTTGGCACACAATTTGGTTCACGCTTTTGGTACACATAATTTTATTTATTTATTTATTACTATAGCATGATTAGCTGACATTTGGCCCATAAAATTTGGTAGATTAGGAATTGGTCAGGTTCAGATTGTTAATTGGCCTAATTAATCAACTCAAACCTCATAATCCCCATCTAATTTAATATTAATGAGGCACATGGGGGAGGATATACAACAAAATAATAGTTCCATTTATGACCAGACACCCTGTAACCAGCAATAATAAATTCATTAAAAACTATCATATGATTAATGACAACATTATACTATTCTCAATGGGACCAGTAAAAACGACTAATCATAGTACCAAAGTCATTAGGATTCTCCAATCAATTNCTTAAAGAGAGTTTGTTGAAGACTGCAATAATAAATTCATTAAAAACTATCATATGATTAATGACAACATTATACTATTCTCAATGGGACCAGTAAAAACGACTAATCATAGTACCAAAGTCATTAGGATTCTCCAATCAATTCTCTTTATTTCTCCCCATCTCACCCATTAATCAAAGGGTATTTGATTAATTTGAAGAATTATCAACAAAAATCGATCCTAAGATGTGTTCAAGAATTAATTTCACATTGTTAGACTACCATCGTGTAAGAATTAGATCCACACAATTAAATTACATCTGAGGTTTATTTGTTTTTGGTCTTTGACTCTAGAATTAAAATCATCTTGACAATTTTTTGGAGTTAGGTTATAAGGAATTTATCCCTTATGAATATTTTAATTTTAGACACGAATGATCTGCCTGTGACCGGATTAGGGAAGAAATTAGTCGAGGTGTAAATAAGCGAACTCGGACACCTTTAATCGTTGAAACAAAAAAAAAATTTGGAATCATCTTGGTAAANTTAGGGAAGAAATTAGTTGAGGTGTAAATAAGCGAACTCGGACACCTTTAATCGTTGAAACAAAAAAAAAATTTGGAATCATCTTGGTAAACTTTTGAGGTCAGATCATGAGTAATATATCTTTCATGAATACCTTAATTTACGATTTGTCTTTAACCAGATATAAAAAGAAATTNTGGTCTTTGACTCTAGAATTAAAATCATCTTGACAAATTTTTGGAGTTAGGTTATAAGGAATTTATCCCTTATGAATATTTTAATTTTAGACACGAATGATCTGCCTGTGACCGGAGTAGGGAAGAAATTAGTCGAGGTGTAAATAAGCGAACTCGGACACCTTTAATCGTTGAAACAAAAAAAAAAATTGGAATCATCTTGGTAAACTTTTGAGGTCAGATCATGAGTAATATATCTTTCATGAATACCTTAATTTACGATTTGTCTTTAACCAGATATAAAAAGAAATTAGTTAAGGTACGCATAAACTGTCTTGAACATGAGTGACAGATGACAAAAAAAAAAAAAAAGGAAGAATTGGAATCATCTGCAGAACTAAGAATCTAGAAGTGGTGGGTTATTTTGATCATTAATCAAAAGACAATCACATGATGATTAAAATGTGTTTAAGGACAACCAATGTAGAGCTCAAATGCTTCTAGATCCAANTAAAAAAAAAGAAAAGGAAAAATTGGAATCATCTGCAGAACTAAGAATCTAGAAGTGGTGGGTTATTTTGATCATTAATCAAAGACAATCACATAATGATTAAAATGTGTTTAAGGACAACCAATGTAGAGCTCAAATGCTTCTAGATCCAACTAATAAACAACTTTGCTTGATTAATGTCTTCATAATAAATGCAATAAACTGGCATTGATTTGACTAATAATCCAGAATCTAGCATCCAGAAAAGCATTAAACAAAAGCACAAAATCCAACAGCTAAGCAACATAGCAGCCAATATAGCTGCATTTAATTTCAAACCTTAATCAAAAGTTTAAACAACCCTTTTATCATTAAATAACAAATATTTTTGATTAAACCTTAATCATAATTTAATTAAAATTTTATCATTAAATAATTAATTTGGCACTCTAAACTGTTGGACCTGGGAAAGACAAGAATCCAAAGAGCAAGTCAATGTTGTAGTTCCACAAAGGTCCAAAAAAGGCTTCTTTCTTCCTATGAAAGCCAGAACTTCTTGTCTGTCTCTCTTTTTAATCCCAACTTCCTCTCATTATTTTCTCATCACCCCTAAACAAAGAGAAGAATCAAATAGATTGAGAGTTTGTAACTTTTTCTTACGGATTTTCTGTGAAACCAAACAAGCAATTTGGAGAGGGAGAACAGTGGTGTGGTTGGCGGCTGAGACACCTAACTTTCGAAGAGAGAGAGAGAGAGAGAGAGAGAGAGAGAGAGAGAGAGAGATAAGAGAAATCAGAGGATTCACATTCACATTAGATCTAAGGATTCTTTGGGGTTCACGGGCCTTGTAGGGGCTGTATTGAAGTTCTCTGCACATGACAGGGTGAGCACAGAGTGGGGTTTTATGCTCATGTTTGTTTTTTGTCTGCACATTCAAATGAAAACCTAAGCCTGGTTTCATTGGTGTTCTGTAAAAGTTGAGGTGGAAATTTTTTCGAGGTCTAATGGGGATTTGCTTGAGCAACCAAATCAAGGCTGAGAACCCATCTGACACTGGTACAGGTATTATCTCTTGATTTCATCCTCAATTTGTATGGAAAAAATCTGGTTTCTGGGGAATGGNACAAATGAAAACCTAAGCCTGGTTTCATTGGTGTTCTGTAAAAGTTGAGGGTGGAAATTTTTTCGAGGTCTAATGGGGATTTGCTTGAGCAACCAAATCAAGGCTGAGAACCCATCTGACACTGGTACAGGTATTATCTCTTGATTTCATCCTCAATTTGTATGGAAAAAATCTGGTTTCTGGGGAATGGAGGAAAAGAAACAGANTGAGAACCCATCTGACACTGGTACAGGTATTATCTCTTGATTTCATCCTCAATTTGTATGGAAAAAATCTGGTTTCTGGGGAATGGAGGAAAAGAAACAGATATTAAACTTGGGTTCTTTTTAATGTTGCTTTTGTTTCTCGAAAATGGGAAGCTCACCTCAGCTAAAATTTGTAGCTTGATTTTTGGACAATTATATAGACTTCTTGTTCTATATTTTTCCCCCTTTTTTGAGGGTTTGATGGCACTTGAATTATGTAAGCTTTAGTTCAAAGTTATTATTTCTGTAAGGATCATGAGATTTCTTAATACCCAACTGGATTATTTGCTGAATTTATGCGTTTGTTCAAGATGGTTTCATTGTTTTAATAGTGATAAGTGTATTGTTATATAACCAACTTGTAAGAGAAGATTTGTTTGTGGTTTAGTATGGCTACAGTTTCATTTAATTTTCCTTTATGTAAAACATGTTCTTGCAATTTTGGGTTTCACTTGACCATTACAAAATACTATGATAAGGNTTGTTTGTGGTTTAGTATGGCTACAGTTTCATTTAATTTTCCCTTATGTAAAACATGTTCTTGCAATTTTGGGTTTCACTTGACCATGACAAAATACTATGATAAAGTCTACATTTTCGTACTTCATTAATTTGTTTGGTAATATTGGATTTTGCATAGGGGTAAGTTCTAAAATTGTCAGCAGAGATGGGACTGAAATGAGTAATTCGAGTGGCAAGGTTTCATCTGCCTCTATACCCCAGACTCCTAAGAGTGAGGGTGAGATCTTGCAGTCCTCCAATTTAAAGAGCTTCACTTTCAGCGAACTCAAAACGGCCACCAGAAACTTCCGCCCTGATAGTGTAGTAGGAGAAGGTGGATTTGGTTCTGTGTTTAAAGGGTGGGTTGACGAGCAGTCGCTTGCCGCTTCAAAGCCTGGAACTGGGATGGTGATAGCAGTTAAGAAGCTGAACCAAGAAGGGTGGCAGGGACACAAGGAGTGGTTGGTTAGTACACATTTTACCTTATGAAACTTCTTTGAGTTTCTGGAAACTAATTATTCTTCTGCTCGGCTGATATTAGAATCTTTGTAGGCCATTTGTAGAAATTCTTGGTAAAGTAGGGAATCTTGAGCATTGAAGTGTATTTTGGGAAGTATATATCTGTAATTTAATTTTCCATGGTGCCTTCTAAGCTATTCGGGTGCAATTGTCAAATCCACCTGGCTTAGTCATAAAAGTTTCTGCAATGTATAATGTATCCATACATTCCTCCCACCCCCTGGCAACAAAAAAAAAAGAGAAAGGAAAAAAGCCGGTAATTTGGTGGGAATTCTTGCTTTGGTTTTGTTTATCTTCCCAGTGCTGCAGTCCCTATAGTCTTTCAGATGATCAGAATAGCTAATTTTCTGCTGCGCCTTTGTATGTACAGGCAGAAATCAACTATCTTGGGCAGTTGCATCATCCTAATCTTGTGAAATTGATCGGTTACTGCTTAGAGGATGACCACAGGCTTTTGGTTTATGAGTTCATGCCAAAGGGCAGCATGGAAAATCATTTATTCAGGAGTCAGTTCTTCATATCCCCCCCTTAAAAACTGCCTATTTTTGTTATCATTTTCTTGTTTTGAATGAAAACATATTTTAAAGGCATATCACTCCTAAATTAAAACTTACGTATTTGATAACTTTTGAATCAGGAGGGTCTTACTTCCAGCCACTTTCTTGGAGCCTTCGAATGAAAGTTGCTCTTGGTGCTGCAAGGGGGCTTGCTTTTCTTCACAGTAATGAACCTAAAGTTATATATCGGGACTTCAAGACTTCTAATATCCTGCTTGACTCGGTGTGTAATTTCAGAAGCATGAACTGACCTACATGCTAAAAATTGATCGACTTTTAGAGTTCTTATTGATTGATTTGCTTTCCATTGCTTTTGTCCATTAATTCACAGAACTACAATGCAAAACTTTCTGATTTTGGGTTGGCCAGGGATGGGCCAACTGGTGATAAGAGCTATGTCTCTACTAGGGTTATGGGGACCTATGGATATGCTGCTCCAGAATATCTATCGACAGGTACATTTGCTTGTACAGTATCTTTCATAAGTTCAATTACCCAAGTCTACTCATCTGGTGTTAAATACTCCCTTCTCTGTTTTATTTGATTATTACATTTGTTATTTCTTGCTTAGCTGCTATATGTAAATTTTTTTAGCCAATGTCGATTTCCAGTTAGGTGACCTTGTAAATGACTTGTCATGTGATGTTTCTCTTCTAGACCTGACTATTATGTCTCAAATAAAGGTTGGATCATATGCACGTGGGGCTATAGTGTTCCCAAACATTTCAGAAGGATGAGGATTCATCACACATTATTTGTATTGTATAACTACATTTGTGTGTTGCATTTCTTCATTGATGGTATAAGATTTTGGGTCCTAAACTCGATTGTGATCGAAACTGACTTTCAGTAGGTTATCATTCTGTATCAGTTTTTAATATCCTCTGTTAGGTTACCATTCTGTATAAGTTTTTGATATCCTCTAGATAGTTCAAAACAACCCTATTGGAGTGTTCAAAATGCCTTAATAACACAAGTCTCCTTTTGTAAAAGAATGTACATCAACCTGAGAAACAAATAAAATGTCAACAGCTATTGAAATTGCAATTTGATTCTGTATCTTTGTTCAAAACATTTCCATAAAGGATATGCATGACCTCATAGTCAGACCACAAGATTCCCTTGTGCTGGTGAGAAATGTCAGGTTCCACCCTTTGGTGTTAGTTTCCGTTTACTGTATTATTACCTTAAGAGGCTATTACAAGCAACTTCTGTGTTGTTTTGCTTTGGTGGCGTTTTGCTAATATATAATTTGTTTGATAAGTAATCAAAATGCATCCTGTGTTCTGATGGACATATATATCTCTGTTTCTTATGGGAAAGGTCATCTAACTGCCAAGAGCGACGTCTACAGCTTTGGAGTGGTTCTTTTAGAAATTTTATCTGGCAAAAAAGCAATAGACAAGAATAGGCCAACTGGAGAACACAACCTAGTGGAGTGGGCAAAACCTTACCTGACCAACAAACGTAGAATCTTCCGCGTTCTAGATGGCCGTCTTGAAGGTCAGTATTCACTTGGTCGGGCCATGAAAGCAGTTAACCTTGCAGTTCAATGCCTGTGTATGGAACCCAAGTTGAGGCCGACCATGGATGAGGTGGTCACAACATTAGAGCAGCTTCAGGATCAAAAAGACCAACAATTAAATCGTCAGTCCCATTCCAATGTTGGACCTCGATCCTGTAGAAGCAGTGCAGAGGAAGATCCTGGAGCAACCGGTTATCCCAGACCATCTTCTTCTCCTCTTTATGCTTAGAATGGTCGAAGGAAGAAGAAGAAAAAGAAAAAGACTTTTTTGATGCGGCAGTAACTTATTTCCTAATTTTGGGATTTCGGGCATGTATTGTACCTTATATTTTTCAAGGTATTGTATAGTTCTTATTGTGTTTATGTGCTTGAAAATCTACCTTTTGACGAACCTTATGCTACAACTGGATTCATGAGAAGCTGTGTATATTTGCATTGGTTTACACTTTGCGGAATATTTATTCACATTGCTTGGAAATCAAAGTTGTCCTCATGGACAAAGGATAAAACTTAAGATTTTTCACTTGTACTTATTTCTTTTTTTTGATTTAACGGTCAGAATGTCCGGACATAGTTTATATTATCGGATAACTGTTCTGCAGCTTTTTGGTATAGATTATGAAGGGGGTTAGCCCTCATGATGACACATGTTACAATATTAAATAAGTTCACGTGAGCTTGACAAGACCAGTCATACGACGAGGATATTCACCTAGTCTTGAGAATCGAGTTGAACTGGTCAATTCATTTGACAAATAAAGAAAGAGTTAGATTCTCCTGATGACTGAATTTATCAGTCTGTCCAGTTAAGCAACGAAAGAGCTCGGCTTGTACCAAGCTGAGTCTGTTAAAGTGTTTGGCAAGACTATTGAAGAGATCAGTTTGTACTAAACTAAGTCCCTTAATCTGTTCAACAAATATCAAGTGTGTTCGGAATTCGATATGATCAAGCTGTTTCAAATGATAAATAGAGAGATAAAGATTCGCCTATAATTTAAGCAATCAGATAAACGAATTAGAGAAATTGAAGATATCAGGAGAAAATAATAGAGAAATATCAGCAACTTCCTAAATTGAATGACTGAATCTAAGGAAGGTGTGTCACCTTGAATCAAGAGTCACGGAAACCCTAAAGAGATGACCACCTATTAAAATCAAAAGGAACCAAGAAGAGAGATACACTGGATTCTCCTTGATTTAGTGCAATTCTTTATGTTTTATTACTGACTTAAGCATCCGAGGCACTTCGATCTTGGACAGTTTGTTCGTTTTGTAGGAAAGAGTTGAGGAAATAGTTTAAACTCCATTCTCAGAAATCGTATCACAGATTCACGTACCGAAGCATAACAAATTTTTTGCCTTCACAGATTATACGAACTGCAGGATACTAGGATGCTTCTGGGCATTCTCGGGGCCAACTTGGAATACCCGGTTCCTTCATTAAGATTCGAATCCAACGCTCAACACGGATGCCATGCTATTATTTTCTAATGCAAGTGCGTATCAAAAATATTGGTTTATATCAGAGAGTTCAGAAGAACTGTCAAAATGGGATTGAAAAATTGCTTCTAGCATTGGGCAGACCTTGTACACGTATCAAATTTCACTGTGGACAACACAATTTCTTTTTTTTGGAAGAATTTGCTAACTATACCCTTAAGCTCAATGTTTTAATTTCTTCCTTTGTTGACTTCGGCTTTACTGTAATATTAGGAGTTTCATTTCACCCACCAGGAATGATTGTACTCCTCCATACTTTGTTTACGGTTTCTGCAGTATCAGGAGTTTAATGATAAAGTTTTACTTTTTTTCTTCCATAGTGATGACGTTAACAAGATGTCTAAGTGGTCCAATGGTCAAGTGTGAATTTTTGTAAATAAAAAGTCTGACATTTGATATTCTTTAAGGGTTGATCATCCTTGTGGACATGTCTTTAAATTAGTTTGACTTATGATGATTGGTCTCAGAGTTTGAGGGAATAGTCGATACAAGTTTAGATGTCTTGTACTACTAAAAAAACAAAAAAAAAAAAAAGAAGCTAGATGGCAAGAGATTTGCAGTTGGTATTGGAGGTCGAAATGAATAGCACATATTTTGCGGCATAACATTCGGAAAGCCGTCTTAGCTCAGCTGGTAGAGCGCGTGGCTTTTAACCACGTGGTCGTGGGTTCGATTCCCACAGACGGCGAGGTAGATTTGAACTTTTACTTTTTGTTTTCAATTTTACCCTCCTCCCCATGCTTCTGGAGACAAGTTAGAAATTTTTCCATCAATAATTTGACAAACTTTCTTTCCTATGTGTTAGCTATTGAGGACGAAAATACCGATAAAACCCTAAAATGCAAATTTTCCATATCCGTTTTCGAGTTCAAGATGACTTCAGATCAAAAAGACGAGAAAATAAAATAAATGACCAAGACTTAAGAGAGCCCAGAAAAGAAGAGAAGTCCCAAACTTTTACTTTTTGTTTTCAATTTTACCCTCCTTCCCATGCTTCTGGAGACAAGTTAGAAATTTTTCCATCAATAATTTGACAAACTTTCTTTCCTATGTGTTAGCTATTGAGGACGAAAATACCGATAAAACCCTAAAATGCAAATTTTCCATATCCGTTTTCGAGTTCAAGATGACTTCAGATCAAAAAGACGAGAAAATAAAATAAATGACCAAGACTTAAGAGAGCCCAGAAAAGAAGAGAAGTCCCAAACTTTTACTTTTTGTTTTCAATTTTACCCTCCTTCCCATGCTTCTGGAGACAAGTTAGAAATTTTTCCATCAATAATTTGACAAACTTTCTTTCCTATGTGTTAGCTATTGAGGACGAAAATACCGATAAAACCCTAAAATGCAAATTTTCCATATCCGTTTTCGAGTTCAAGATGACTTCAGATCAAAAAGACGAGAAAATAAAATAAATGACCAAGACTTAAGAGAGCCCAGAAAAGAAGAGAAGTCCCACCGTGTTTGTTCTTTGAATTCAAAAAATTCCTAGTTTTTGACTTCCAAACAGCTGGAGAGGGATAGACTACATCTATAATTTCATTGGTCAATAGATGGATATTTGACACATCTTTCACTTTTTCCGCTTTAGATAAGCGAGGAAATCAAATTTTTGAGTTCTTAATTTCTTGTTATCTTCTCGAACATTCAGAAGCTGGCATCATGGGGATATTTTTTTGGGTCACACGTATTTAGTTTGAATTTTGACAATTTTTTAAAGTTAAACTACGAGAGAGATTATCATTTATCCCTAATAAATACTTCAGTTCTGACATAGATGGTTAACCATTTAATTATACTGGGGAGAGAATTAATTGAAGTGCACATAAATTAATCGAACACCCCAGACTGTTGAACCCAAAAAAAAAAAAAGAGAGTCGAACCTTCCATTTTAAGGTGCCTATGTAGGACGGACTATAGGGACTATGGTCAAGCGAGGGAGGCATCTAGGGATTTGAATTCAAGTGGTGAAAGGAAATTGGGGGAGAGAGAAGGTAATTAGTATGTAGCTAGTGAGACGCGATTTTAGTTTATGTTGAGGGTTGAATTATGCTTTAATCATCCAGGCTGATCCACTTCAAGAGAGTAGTCATAGGTAGTAATTTTGTAATATGAGGAGAATCCAACAAAAATTAGAATCAGTCTGCATGCATCTCCTCGATAAATAGATCGGTGGTGAGTATGAGAGCTAATCAAGTTGAACCTTTTTTTTGTGCTTTGATATATTCAGGTTTAACTCGAGTTCATTGTTTCCGGTTCAAACTGCATCTAAGTTCGATTGTTATTCATGTTATATGTTCAGGTTTAATTTAACTTAATTCGAGTAAATCTAAAAAACGCACTCACGTATACTTCAAACCCATAATTTTCGATTTAAAATGACACATCTTATCTACAATTCTTTCACTTTATGCCCCCATCCACTAATAAGAGAATGTCATTCGTTTTTAGTTTGTCAAACTTGCAACCTTGTGCTATCTCTAACCTTTTTTTTGTGCTTTTCTGGGTACCTGTAGAATATAGTACCCCTCAGAAAAGCCCACCAATAAGTATTGCAGTTGCCATGACAAAGGTAAAAGGATTAAATGAACCGACATATCAACAATGTTATCAAGATTTGAAGAAAGACAAGTGCATGAAAATGACTATGATTTTCCATCTTATATTACTTTAATAGGGCAATACAATTTCTTGTTTTTATTTTTTGGGTATATTAATAGATATGCACATAGACATATTTGCCGGGAGCATTGGCCTTCGATGCCACAAATCTATCTACAGGATATCTCATTATATTTATGTTAAGATTGTAATTAAAGTCTCACGGCATGTTTTGAGAGCTGAAAAATAGGTTTAACTCTACCGAACTGTCGTAGTTGTGAAGTTTTGAATTCAAACATTGAACGAAAAAATCTAAATTCTTATTTACTGGACCAACCACTCAGTGTGTTTACCATCAATTCTAGCATATTAAGGCAAAAGTGGTCACATTATATAATATAAACATACATGTGCGCGCACACACAGATCAAAATAGAATTATATTCATATGATTATCACAAATTTGCTATTTAGGATAATAGGATAATAGTGCTTATTAAAGTTTCCTTTTCCCTGCACTATATGTTTTCTTTTTTCCCATAGCCTCTGGGAAAATATTTAGTACTTATAAGACACTAAAATGACAGCGTCATGTGATATCTACACCCAATAAAAAATTGTCATAATACTTGTTTTGTCAGACACACAAGATGATTTGTTTAAGAAAATTTGTGACAACTTCTCAAGTAACAACAATCAATTAAAAACGTATCATATTATATCGATAATATACATTATATGACAATGCCACCTAATGTTTGGTGAGCTCATAATATTTTATACTCAGACAATTTTTCACCATTGCTGGATCTCACTTCAACTAGCACCACCAAAGCCAAATCCAGTAAAAACTCCACCTCCACATGGTCAGAAGTTTAAAAAGGGAAGGTAAACAAAAGAATGAAAAATAGTTACCACACTCACTTTTATACCCTAAATAGTTTTCTACTTTTCTGGTTTTTATCTATTCTCTTACCCGCCACTAACTTCAAATTTTTCATGAAAAAACGAGTGATTGAAGATAGAATTTCACCTGTATTCGATCTCCAATTCTTGTTCACCCCGAATGATCATATTAGGTGATTTGTGACTTTATACAATCGTATCAGGTGAGCAACAATTGCTTTGTCACGGTACTTACTAATGGACTAACGGGTTTGAAAAGTTAAACTTGGAATAGGAATACTTTCAATTTTTCTTTTTGGTGTTTCAGACCCTGAAGTTCTCGCCCATGAAGGTCTGACCAAATTGCCAATTGGATGGTGCCACGTTCCAAGAGGTTGAAATGCGACGGTCACTGCCTGTGACCCTAAAAGACAGGGCCTGCCCAACGAGGACAGCATTAGATTGCCAGTTTTGGCCCCAGTTGCGGCTCAATGGCATCCACGGAGTGTTGATCCCTTTGACACTGGCCCGTATGATATCCCCTGCACCCGCGACGTTGGTGATTAGAACTAGGTTAAAATAACGGAAGCCGTTGATTGTGAATCTCATCCCTCCTTTCTTTCTGCATGGCACGCTGCAACAAAAGAAATAACAATGTGGGTTAAGGATATAGTATTGCAATATTTTAGGACGAATTATATTTTGTATCCTACAAATTTAAAATTTTATTTTATATCCTCAAAAATTAAATATTGTATATTTACACCCTCAATTTATCAAAAGTGTTGAAATATCACCCTTCTGTTAGTCTTTCGTTAGTTTTTTCGTTAGTATCAATGAGTTGACTTTTGACAAAAAAAATAACAGATAACAAAAATATCACATTACAATATTTTTGATACATTGAATGTACAATGTAAGAAATTAAATTTTTGAAGGTACAAAATATAAATATTGAAATCTTTTAGAGTGCAAAAATGTGAAATGGTGATTAATTATAAAAAATAGAAACTATAAAAAAAATTAAATATGCATTATTTGGATTGATGCAAAATAAGAAATTCGAACAATAGTGTAGGCGAGCCCATAGGTTAGAATATATTAACATGTTTTTCATTTTTATACAATTAAAATGTGACGAATGAAAATTTGTTATTTTATTATTTCATTATTTTTATGATTAATAGCTCAATATAACTTAAATAAATTTGTAATTTAAATTATTTTTTGATACCATAAAAAAATATTCATACGAAGAATATTATCATATTCCTCCTAATATATTATTTGTATTTGGGGACTTGTGAAATTCACCAATTGGTCACTTTTAGGAGGTTACAAACCCTAGGTTGACCACATTTTTTGGTAATATGGCCCATTAAGATGGGAGTGAGATCTTTTTTAATATATATATTTTTAATTTTTTTTAGCAAATTATTTATCATACATTTAAGTGAGAATTACTGTATACAAGTGAATCCCTTAATCATCGATAGTGAATTCTTCGCTCATTAATCGTAAATAATGTTTTAAAAAACATATATTAAAAAAGATCTGAAATCCCACCAAAACAGTGTGGCTTTTAGCATTGATGACTGGTGGGTTTAATTGACCAAGCATTCAGTGTGGGTCACTGTGAGGTGTAGTTGATGAGTAATGCTGTTTAACATTTTCCGTGGCTAATTCTCTTAAGCCTAAACATGTATTTACCATAATGCCCTTAAAATGCACTAAAATTGAAGAAATATCTTACTTGTAAGGACTAATTTAACACACCAATAATGTTCTACGATAACCAAAGAGTTAGATGCTCAAATCACAATTTTTCTATAGATCCTAAGGAACACGAGTCTCTAACGCTATAATGTCTCATTTTTTATAATGTTAATTTTTGGTAAAAATTTTAAATTCAAGTGGTAATAAAAACGAATTATAAGTTTAAACGTATTGAGTGTAAATATTGACGATATTATAGAATTAGACTATAAGAAATTAATCATTCATAGATGCTCTGGCCTCGATATGAATGATTTTTTTTTTATCGAACCGAAAAAAAAATTAGTTATGATGCATGTAAACTGATCCAAACATTCCGGACTATTGAACTAAAAAAAATCTCAAATCTATTGGTTGGTTGTGAAAAGTAAATATTTATTATAATGGTTACACAGGGTCAATAGTATGATATGGTGTGACATAAAGACAAATATGTGATTAAAGTAGACCCTATTTTTTTATATATGAAGTGATTGTTATCTTAGAACATCTTTAACTATGACTCAAATTTGAATATAAATTTGGATAAAAATTTTGATTTGATATAGAGTACACCGATGGAGAAACTCAAATATCTATTCAAATTTTTAAAAAAAATTCTCTTATTATCCAAAAACTCATTTTTTTTGTATCATTCAAATTATTATATTTGATAAAATAAATAAAATTTTCATATCTCTCAACAAATAGACAAATTAAAAAAAAAAAAAATATATGAATACGTATATGACACTACATATGAATAAAGAAATCACCCAAAATTAATAGTTCTTGGGTCCAATGATATTTCTTGTCTTGTAAACGCTTTGTCTTCTTGAGGTTAAGAATTTAAGTCTCGTTTCCCCTTTCCTTTCCCTCTCTCTCTCCCAAAAAATATATATATATAAAAAAANAATAAAGAAATCACCCAAAATTAATAGTTCTTGGGTCCAATGATATTTCTTGTCTTGTAAACGCTTTGTTTTCTTGAGATTAAGAATTTAAGTCTCGTTTCCCCTTTCCTTTCCCTCTCTCTCTCCCAAAAAATATATATATATATATAAAATCATTCCAGAATTCTAAGATTGTTCTAATTCCTTATCTTTTTTATAAATTCAAAAAAATAAAAATAAAAAAATATAACAAAAATAAAAGATTGAAGAAATAAAATGTCGAATTTTTTAAATTTGTAGGTAGTAAATATTTAAAATTTTAAAAAAAATCAATGGCCTAAAATTGTACTTTCGATAGTGTTGAACTTGAAAAAATCAAAAAAAAAATTGATAAGTAAGTTTAGGGTTTANATTTAAAATTTTAAAAAAAATCAATGGCCTAAAATTGTACTTTCGATAGTGTTGAACTTGAAAAAATCAAAAAAAAAATTGATAAGTAAGTTTAGGGTTTATATAGTATAACATAGTAAACGGAAGCCAGAAAAAATAGAGAACAAATCGTCCAAGAAGTCACTTTTAATTTTTGATAGTTTAAAAAGTTATATATATATATATATTAGTTATTTGAAAGAGGATGATCCATTTTGACTACTAGTTAAATTATTATTGCACGAATATACCAACAGACTTAGATGGTTTTGGGTTTTATCACTCACCGGCGGAAATTGACCGGAACAATACCGGCACGGTACTGAGCAATCTTGAGGAACATGGGCATGGCGAGGTCGAAGTGGGTTCGAGGAGGGTTGCANAAGGTAAACAAAAGAATGAAAAATAGTTACCACACTCACTTTTATACCCTAAATAGTTTTCTACTTTTCTGGTTTTTATCTATTCTCTTACCCGCCACTAACTTCAAATTTTTCATGAAAAAACGAGTGATTGAAGATAGAATTTCACCTGTATTCGATCTCCAATTCTTGTTCACCCCGAATGATCATATTAGGTGATTTGTGACTTTATACAATCGTATCAGGTGAGCAACAATTGCTTTGTCACGGTACTTACTAATGGACTAACGGGTTTGAAAAGTTAAACTTGGAATAGGAATACTTTCAATTTTTCTTTTTGGTGTTTCAGACCCTGAAGTTCTCGCCCATGAAGGTCTGACCAAATTGCCAATTGGATGGTGCCACGTTCCAAGAGGTTGAAATGCGACGGTCACTGCCTGTGACCCTAAAAGACAGGGCCTGCCCAACGAGGACAGCATTAGATTGCCAGTTTTGGCCCCAGTTGCGGCTCAATGGCATCCACGGAGTGTTGGTCCCTTTGACACTGGCCCGTATGATATCCCCTGCACCCGCGACGTTGGTGATTAGAACTAGGTTAAAATAACGGAAGCCGTTGATTGTGAATCTCATCCCTCCTTTCTTTCTGCATGGCACGCTGCAACAAAAGAAATAACNTGGTGATTAGAACTAGGTTAAAATAACGGAAGCCGTTGATTGTGAATCTCATCCCTCCTTTCTTTCTGCATGGCACGCTGCAACAAAAGAAATAACAATGTGGGTTAAGGATATAGTATTGCAATATTTTAGGACGAATTATATTTTGTATCCTACAAATTTAAAATTTTATTTTATATCCTCAAAAATTAAATATTTTNACAATGTGGGTTAAGGATATAGTATTGCAATATTTTAGGACGAATTATATTTTGTACCCTAAAAATTTAAAATTTTATTTTATATCCTCAAAAATTAAATATTGTATATTTACACCCTCAATTTATCAAAAGTGTTGAAATATCACCCTTCTGTTAGTCTTTCGTTAGTTTTTTCGTTAGTATCAATGAGTTGACTTTTGACAAAAAAAATAACAGATAACAAAAATATCACATTACAATATTTTTGATACATTGAATGTACAATGTAAGAAATTAANAAAAGTGTTGAAATATCACCCTTCTGTTAGTCTTTCGTTAGTTTTTTCGTTAGTATCAATGAGTTGATTTTTGACAAAAAAATAACAGATAACAAAAATATCACATTACAATATTTTTGATACATTGAATGTACAATGTAAGAAATTAAATTTTTGAAGGTACAAAATATAAATATTGAAATCTTTTAGAGTGCAAAAATGTGAAATGGTGATTAATTATAAAAAATAGAAACTATAAAAAAAATTAAATATGCATTATTTGGATTGATGCAAAATAAGAAATTCGAACAATAGTGTAGGCGAGCCCATAGGTTAGAATATATTAACATGTTTTTCATTTTTATACAATTAAAATGTGACGAATGAAAATTTGTTATTTTATTATTTCATTATTTTTATGATTAATAGCTCAATATAACTTAAATAAATTTGTAATTTAAATTATTTTTTGATACCATAAAAAAATATTCATACGAAGAATATTATCATATTCCTCCTAATATATTATTTGTATTTGGGGACTTGTGAAATTCACCAATTGGTCACTTTTAGGAGGTTACAAACCCTAGGTTGACCACATTTTTTGGTAATATGGCCCATTAAGATGGGAGTGAGATCTTTTTTAATATATATATTTTTAATTTTTTTTAGCAAATTATTTATCATACATTTAAGTGAGAATTACTGTATACAAGTGAATCCCTTAATCATCGATAGTGAATTCTTCGCTCATTAATCGTAAATAATGTTTTAAAAAACATATATTAAAAAAGATCTGAAATCCCACCAAAACAGTGTGGCTTTTAGCATTGATGACTGGTGGGTTTAATTGACCAAGCATTCAGTGTGGGTCACTGTGAGGTGTAGTTGATGAGTAAGTCTGTTTAACATTTTCCGTGGCTAATTCTCTTAAGCCTAAACATGTATTTACCATAATGCCCTTAAAATGCACTAAAATTGAAGAAATATCTTACTTGTAAGGACTAATTTAACACACCAATAATGTTCTACGATAACCAAAGTGTTAGATGCTCAAATCACAATTTTTCTATAGATCCTAAGGAACACGAGTCTCTAACGCTATAATGTCTCATTTTTTATAATGTTAATTTTTGGTAAAAATTTTAAATTCAAGTGGTAATAAAAACGAATTATAAGTTTAAACGTATTGAGTGTAAATATTGACGATATTATAGAATTAGACTATAAGAAATTAATCATTCATAGATGCTCTGGCCTCGATATGAATGATTTTTTTTTTATCGAACCGAAAAAAAAATTAGTTATGATGCATGTAAACTGATCCAAACATTCCTGACTATTGAACTAAAAAAAATCTCAAATCTATTGGTTGGTTGTGAAAAGTAAATATTTATTATAATGGTTACACAGGGTCAATAGTATGATATGGTGTGACATAAAGACAAATATGTGATTAAAGTAGACCCTATTTTTTTATATATGAAGTGATTGTTATCTTAGAACATCTTTAACTATGACTCAAATTTGAATATAAATTTGGATAAAAATTTTGATTTGATATAGAGTACACCGATGGAGAAACTCAAATATCTATTCAAATTTTTAAAAAAAATTCTCTTATTATCCAAAAACTCATTTTTTTTGTATCATTCAAATTATTATATTTGATAAAATAAATAAAATTTTCATATCTCTCAACAAATAGACAAATTAAAAAAAAAAAAAATATATGAATACGTATATGACACTACATATGAATAAAGAAATCACCCAAAATTAATAGTTCTTGGGTCCAATGATATTTCTTGTCTTGTAAACGCTTTGTTTTCTTGAGATTAAGAATTTAAGTCTCGTTTCCCCTTTCCTTTCCCTCTCTCTCTCCCAAAAAATATATATATATATATAAAATCATTCCAGAATTCTAAGATTGTTCTAATTCCTTATCTTTTTTATAAATTCAAAAAAATAAAAATAAAAAAATATAACAAAAATAAAAGATTGAAGAAATAAAATGTCGAATTTTTTAAATTTGTGGATAGTAAAGATTTAAAATTTTAAGAAAAATCAATGGCCTAAAATTGTACTTTCGATAGTGTTGAACTTGAAAAAATCAAAAAAAAAATTGATAAGTAAGTTTAGGGTTTATATAGTATAACATAGTAAACGGAAGCCAGAAAAAATAGAGAACAAATCGTCCAAGAAGTCACTTTTAATTTTTGATAGTTTAAAAAGTTATATATATATATATATTAGTTATTTGAAAGAGGATGATCCATTTTGACTACTAGTTAAATTATTATTGCACGAATATACCAACAGACTTAGATGGTTTTGGGTTTTATCACTCACCGGCGGAAATTGACCGGAACAATACCGGCACGGTACTGAGCAATCTTGAGGAACATGGGCATGGCGAGGTCGAAGTGGGTTCGAGGAGGGTTGCACCACCCACCATTGTCATTTGGTAAAGCATAGTTGGGTGGACAAAAGTTGGTGGCGGTGACAAAAATGGAGGGTCTTCCTGGGTTGCACCACCTTGGATCTTCGGCGCACTTGATCTCGAAGCAAGCTCCGCAGCTCAGACCATTGTTGAAAATGGCCGTGCTCAGTGCCGCTGTGTTTGCTCCGTAGCCTTGGCTGTACAGATTCCCATAACCACACGCTCCACCTGAACAAAACAGCTAGCAGTTACAAATGATTTTGTACATTGACCTGGTTTTGTGAAGAATTTGTAGTCAAACAGAGCATTCTTGGTGGTTTTGGGAAAATGGCAAAAAAAAAAAAAGAAGGGGGGGGGTTCGATACAGGGGAAGAAACAGAGCACAAAACAGAGCAAATTGGCTTCACTGGGAACTAAACACAGAGAGAGAGAGGGGGGAATGTACTGTACCCATAGTGCCCGAGGCGTCACCGCCGCCATAAAAGGTGGCGTGGGCGTCCTGCCATGGCCCGCTTGAGAAAACGCCGGACATGCGAGCATGAACCATAGTTAGAAAACAGAGTATAATAGCAAGGTAGAGCGATCCCGTAGGAGCCATTTTACAGAAACCAGAGAAAGCCTATGTATGTGTGTGAGATTTGGGGTGAATGAAAAGGGGAAAGAAGGTTGGGGTATTTATGGAGGAGGAAATGGAGGGAGTGGGGGATGACGAGAAATCAGAGTTTTAGAAATAAGAACTAGAATTGTTAAAAAGAGTCATTCAGTAAAATAAGAATTTATATGTACGGCATGGTGATAAGTAGGCAGGCATGTCTTTAGTATCATCTAATGTATTTACCCATTCAATGGGTTAAAATGAATTTTTTTTATTTTTTATTTGCTACAAAGTTTTCAGTCTTGCACCAATTATTTTCTCAAGCTCTAAACCAATCATCATAACTTGAGTTAGTTTGAAAAAATGTCCTCGTAAGAACAAGAATGATCGACCCTTATAGGGTATGAAAAGTATCGAATCCTAAGAAACACAAATACGAATATGTGACACAGGTATGATTCGATACGAATACAGTAAAACTTAAAAAAAATAAGATACATGTACGGTCAGGATACGTCTATAAGAAAATATATTTTATATTTTACTATTATTTAACGACTTAAAAATTATAATTTTTCAATAATTGTTTAACATTATTAAGTAAAATTATGAATTTTTACCATGAAAATGATATAAGATCGTCTCATTATGATATATTCATAAAATGAGCATGACCAATTGAAGGAATCATAACCACATTTAACTAGTTAGTTTTACAAGTATTTATTTTTAAAAGTATAGTGTAAGTGACTAATTTTTTTTTATACTCTTAACATTTAATAATAGATAATTCTTAAAAAACACTCGTGTCTTCAAAATCAAATGAAATTTTGTTGATGTTTTTATATTGTATGTGAACTCCAAAGAAGGAGTACATCTTAAAATTAAAAATTGTACATCTTACTCCATGTTTAGAAATATCTGTAAAAATATTCACATATTTTATTAATTATCGTATATGGATGATACGTATCCGATACGTATCATCAAATATTCGACGAATATCGTATCCGATATGGATACATCAACCTTGACGAAGTATCCGTGTTTCATAGATCGAATCTAAGACCACTTGTTTGCAAGAAAAACAAACTTAATCATTGTACCACTCCTAAAGTTTGAGATTTAGTTTTATTGCCTCCTTTATTCTTTTGCTCTTTTTGAAAGAGTAATATTATTAGAATTTAAAAAAAATGATAATTTTTGTGACTATAATTGTTGAATTTTGTTGGTACTCTATCATTTGATATATCATTAAATTATTAATTTAAATCAATTTTTTAGATTTTAATAGCATTGCCCATTCCCAAATTATTTGGAAAAGTTATATACTTTATTGGGTGCAGGAAGCATTTTCCAATGAGAACTATACTGTATACATATTGGATTTCTTGTCAACCTTACCCTTGTTATTCTGTTTCTTTGCTGGTTACCCTTGTTATTCATTTTCAAGTCTTAGGGGCAACTAAGTCCCTTTCATTGCTCTCTCTCTCTCTCTCTCTCTCTCTCTCACTCACACACACACACACACAACCCTTAAAAAAACCCACCCCACGAGGGTTGACCCTGCATTGTCAACGTAGATGATGAGTTCTTTTCCTCTTAACAGTCACTTAGTCTCTATTTACGAGAAATAGCTTTAACAATAACTCTAAGAAATAGTTCAAGTGGTAATTGAAACGAATTATAAATTTAGATATTTTAAATATGAATCTTGGTAACTCCTTTAGTATAGGTCATACGGGATTTATGCCTTATGAATACTCTACTTTCGATGTGGATAACTTATCTTTAATCGAATTAAAGAGGAAATTAATCAAGATGAGTGTAAATTGACTCGATAACTCTAAATCGTTGAAAAAAAAAACTAGTATTTAACTAAAAAGGTCACAAATGCAGTAGTTGGTAGATGGCATGTGTCAACATGGGAGCAATTATGCAATTTATCTTCATTTTATTTCTAGGTATGATTGTGCCAAAATTCCCATGACCCATAGTTATATGAATATAGTTGGGCAGGAATATTTATTGATCAGTCTCACTATACTGTTAGAGAAAGAGCACTTTTTGACACGTAAGAGAGTGAAGGTGAACTAAAAGTATTAAAGGGTATCTCACTTATTGACCCACCAGATCTAGCAGATCTGCCAACTCATCAAGGTCAAGGTCAACGAACCATCTAAGTTATTAAGCATGTCAAGCCAACTGCCACGACATGTGAAGCTGCCACCAAGCACACCCCCCCCCCGCGCGGCAATGTCCAGTGTCGGCATTTGAATGTGTATCCCTTTATTCAATTTGTTCATTAATCTTTTTATTTTTTGTGAGGGGGGGGGGGTGTTTGCACTTCAAAAAGGGCAGGGACCAGATGTGAAATTCATGAGCATGAAAACCCTAGCTCCTTAGGGAAACTCTCCAAATGAAGAAAATATTCATTTACAATGGTGATGCTACGTAGTAATGTGAAATGATATTATTAATTAATAATATTAAAACAAATAAGTGAATGGATCCTGATGATATCAAGAAAAACTCTAAGTATGAGCTCAGGAGAGGAGCTCAAGTAATGAGCTCAGGAGAGAAGCTCAGAGCTCGAATCAGGAGGTCAAGCAATAACCAGAGCTCAACGATCCAACAAGCAAGGAAACTGAGACGAGGACAACTGGCTGATGAAAGANTATCTGTAAAAATATTCACATATTTTATTAATTATCGTATATGGATGATACGTATCCGATACGTATCATCAAATATTCGACGAATATCGTATCCGATATGGATACATCAACCTTGACGAAGTATCCGTATTTCATATATCGAATCTAAGACCACTTGTTTGCAAGAAAAACAAACTTAATCATTGTACCACTCCTAAAGTTTTAGATTTAGTTTTATTGCCTCCTTTATTCTTTTGCTCTTTTTGAAAGAGTAATATTATTAGAATTTAAAAAAAATGATAATTTTTGTGACTATAATTGTTGAATTCTTTTGGTACTCTATCATTTGATATATCATTAAATTATTAATTTAAATCAATTTTTTAGATTTTAATAGCATTGCCCATTCCCAAATTATATGGAAAAGTTATATACTTAATTAGCTGCAGGAAGCATTTTCCAATGAGAACTATACTGTATACATATTGGATTTCTTGTCAACCTTACCCTTGTTATTCTGTTTCTTTGCTGGTTACCCTTGTTATTCATTTTCAAGTCTTAGGGGCAACTAAGTCCCTTTCATTGCTCTCTCTCTCTCTCTCTCTCTCTCTCTCTCTCTCACACTCACACACACACACACACAACCCTTAAAAAAACCCACCCCACGAGGGTTGACCCTGCATTGTCAACGTAGATGATGAGTTCTTTTCCTCTTAACAGTCACTTGAGTCTCTATTTACGTGAAATAGCTTTAACAATAACTCTAAGTAATAGTTCAAGTGGTAATTAAAACAAATTATAAATTTAGATATTTTAAATTTAAATCTTGATAACTCTTTTAGTATAGGTCATACGGGATTTATGCCTTATGAATACTCTACTTTCGATGTAGATAACTTATCTTTAATCGAATTAAAGAGAAAATTAATCAAGATACATGTAAATTGACTCGATAATCCTAAATCGTTGAAAAAAAAAACTAGTATTTAACTAAAAAGGTCACAAATGCATTAGTTGGTAGATGGCATGTGTCAACATGGGAGCAATTATGCAATTTATCTTCATTTTATTTCTAGGTATGATTGTGCCAAAATTCCCATGACCCATAGTTATATGAATATAGTTGGGCAGGAATATTTATTGATCAGTCTCACTATACTGTTAGAGAAAGAGCACTTTTTGACACGTAAGAGAGTGAAGGTGAACTAAAAGTATTAAAGGGTATCTCACTTATTGACCCACCAGATCTAGCAGATCTGCCAACTCATCAAGGTCAAGGTCAACGAACCATCTAAGTTATTAAGCATGTCAAGCCAACTGCCACGACATGTGAAGCTGCCACCAAGCACACCCCCCCCCCGCGCGGCAATGTCCAGTGTCGGCATTTGAATGTGTATCCCTTTATTCAATTTGTTCATTAATCTTTTTATTTTTTGTGAGGGGGGGGGGGTGTTTGCACTTCAAAAAGGGCAGGGACCAGATGTGAAATTCATGAGCATGAAAACCCTAGCTCCTTAGGGAAACTCTCCAAATGAAGAAAATATTCATTTACAATGGTGATGCTACGTAGTAATGTGAAATGATATTATTAATTAATAATATTAAAACAAATAAGTGAATGGATCCTGATGATATCAAGAAAAACTCTAAGTATGAGCTCAGGAGAGGAGCTCAAGTAATGAGCTCAGGAGAGAAGCTCAGAGCTCGAATCAGGAGGTCAAGCAATAACCAGAGCTCAACGATCCAACAAGCAAGGAAACTGAGACGAGGACAACTGGCTGATGAAAGACGTCCTCATAGCAATGGGGAGCTATAATTAAGGCACAGGATGCTTAACCAACCAAAGATCTCCCTCAAATCAACGGAGAACCCATGAATGAAGGGCAAAAATCTCGCTGCAGATCTCGTAGAGATAGGAATTGGACTATAAATATTGTACAGTACCTCCATTGAGAGGCATGCAACCCTAGTTTCATAAAGAACACTCTGTAAGTCATATCCATCGTGAATAAAGATTAAAAGAGAAGGAGACTCTATTGAAGAGTGGATTAGTCGAGCTCCTAAGTTGATGAACCACTATAATTACATTGTGTGAAATCCTCAGATCCCATTTGAACCTTAGCCGCAACTCTCACGAGCCTTGCAGCTCAAGACCATAATCCACGAATTATGTTCATCCTCTTCATTACCCCACTAGTTTAGCGTCGTCTGTGGGAACGATTGTTCTCATCACAAGTACAGTGATCCTTCAATAATTGATGGTCTCAACCCGCAATATGAGCAGAAGCCAAATGAATCCCCCGCGGGTGCAGAACCAGCAAGAGAATACTAGTAGACAACACGAAG